GAAGGCAAATTTGGACAATGGATGAAGCTGTGTGTCTGAGTGCGTGAGAGGGTGCAGGGATTACAGTATAAGGGATAGTGTTCTGTTCGGACATTTTGAATAAAGGTAGGTTGTATTACAGACCTTGGATCAAGAGATCGTGAGAATCCATCTTTCCAGGCTTCAAGTTAATGCGTTTATGTCCAGACAACAGTAGCTCGGACCAATCAGCGTCCTTTGAGGAACTACTGGCAACTAATGGGTGTGGTTTAGACGTTAAAGTATTAGTTATATCAGAACTGGAGAGTATTTCTTCATTGAAAGAAGAGCTATGTCGTCTGGACGGAAAAGATTCTTTCACTATTCTCCTTGCTCACTTTGGCAAGAGTTTGACTACATCAGGTGGTTTGTTTATCTGATTGGTGGAAGTTAGCCAGTTATATAGAAAGTGAGAGTGCTTGCCCTTCTCTTAATTTGTGGGAGAAAATTAAGAGAAGAAAAAATGGGAACATTGAGAACCTTTTTATATCCAGAAGACAAATCTTGAAGTAGCATTCAGGTTATCTGCAATCTCCCTGTTTTAAACAAAGCCTCACACCTCTTTCATTTTACAACAGTATAATTGCAGTGGGCTTTACAATAGCAAATGCGTGCACGGTGTGTGTGTGTGTGTGTGTGTGTGTGTGTGTGTGTGTGTGTGTGTGTGTGTGTGTGGTGATGGTTTACCCACTCATTGGTGCAGTCCCCAGTGCCCCGGAGGCACCTGACTCACTGTGCCAACACACCTGTACTAACCTCGCCTGTTAGGATTAAGAAAACCTCCATTCCTCATCTGAAGGGCCAGGAAAACACACCTGTTTTTAAATTGCTAACACACACACACACACACACACACACACACACACACACACACACACACACACACACACACACACACACACATATATATTAAAGCACATAACTGACTTTATGCAAATCTGCAGTACAAACGTTTGAAGATACTGTGTTATCGTTTATATGCGGTTTATGAGTAGCTTTCTGTCTTGTTTTCTGTGTGCTTGTTGATTAGTAGATTTATGAGGTGTTTTTATTTTTTCTTCTGTGTGCGTATGTGTGTGTTTTGAACTCATGTATGTTATGTATAACATAATCAAGCTGGCCAGGAGTAATGTGAAGATATTACAAAGCAAGCTGATGATTGATGTTGGGAGGGAATATAATAGCAGTTTTATGGTATCGGTCTATGAAATGCACATACACAAGAGACATAAGTAGATGTAAGAGACATCATAACGCTAGGCAATAAAAAATAAAGGCCTAGTATTTGAACCGTGATAGAATCCTATCATATTGGATATATATGTTTTCATTAACTGTGTCCATGTGCAAATGCCTGCACACACAGACTCGCAAAAACAAAGAAGAGTGAATAGATGCAAAAGAAAAGGTATAGGATATCATTACACATACCTGTATGGTATAAACAGAGACACACACTCACAGTAATCTGAGCCCATTGGAGCTCTTTCAATCAGTGGCGACTCCGTCCTGCCCCGCCCTGATCTCTCTTTGTTTGACTAGAGCAGGAGACTCCAGTGAACAGACTTACATAAGCTCTGGTTTAGTAACACCTACTAGGACTTGCAATTAGATGGTAATTCTACCATGCAACTGTTAAATTAGATCTTGAACTCCATTACATAAATGCACAAAATATCTTTTGACCTTTAACGTACAGTTAACTTGCTGTCACACTAAATTAACTTTGTTTTTTGGTTTGCTCCAAATTTATTTCAATACTGTTTCATGTTGCCCTGTTCAATATCTTTAAAAGTCTGAAACAATGTCCTACATGGCTGCACACAAATACACACTGGCACATGGATACTTGAACACACATATCACATTCTCTAGTAGGTAATGAGTGCTTGCTTAGAGGGTACATTAATTAACTGGGTTCCCAAGAGAAAAGTGTCAGAATGTGAGGTCGCACACACACACACACACACACACACACACACACACACACACACACACACACACACACACAGGACAGACCTGGGTCAAATGGTATTTAGGAAAATGTTGTTTGTTCTAGCTTGCTTGCCAAGATGGTTGGGAGTTAAACTGGGGACACACTCATTTCACAGTATGTTTGGGTATTTATACAGTATTTTGTATTTGGTTAGCCAAACACATAAACAGCATTTTCACCAATAAAACCGAATAAAAGATGTATACAATAGCCGAATGAAGTTGAGGCTGGGGAAAGAACATGGGGATGAACACTTGAGACTCTTGCTGTGTGATTTATATAGTCACTCTTCAATTAAAATTGACAAGTTAAGCATTGGTGGTATTTATCACCATGGGTAGCGCATGACTCAATCAATACAACTATTTTTTTAAGCTGTGTTACTGCAGCAGGTCTAGTACAATATGTAGCAGGAGAGCTCAGTTTTCATTGGAGGGTTTTGTAGTTTCAGTTGCTACCTCCCACACACTCCAGTACCCACACTGATTATATCAAACATGTTTGAGCCAAATCAGAAAGTCTATGGCATGCCCAGACTGGAGCAGAAGTGTGAAGATTGAATCTTTACAAACCTTAACACCGCCAAACAGTCCGAGAAGATGAGTGTTTATTATCAGGGAATGATGTTCAGAAGAGGTCATATTGGCTGATTTTCGAATAGTCACTGGTCAGATTTTAGTAGGGTTAACCCTTAAGCTATCTCACCCTTCACGCTGATTAAAACTATTGACTCCTGACTATCTGATCTGATTTGAAATGTACACACAGAAAAGGGCGATAAGCATAAGATCTGGTATTGCTCTATCATCTAACGTGTCCAGCACAAGAGCTGTCGCCCAAACAGTTCCTGACTTTCTGATTTTGATTCTGCATGAACACGTTGAAATCCACACAGTCTCTGTGGGTGTGGCAGACCAACAGCAAATCAGGGCATCCAGATACTGGTGTTAAAGGTGTTACCTTTGTCTTCCCTACCCTTCAGTTTGATGGGGAAGACAAAAAAAAACAGGAAGAAGCTTGAAGTTGATGTTATGCTGTTAAGAACATGCTGACAGATTTATAAGAAATAACTTGGAGATACCACACATGCTTGGCACACACCTGAACTGTGAATCATGCATGCCTGTTTGAGATCAAGGCCAAAGGTATCAGGTGTCTACACGGTAGAAAAAACTGGAGGGGTTCTGCATGGCTTTTTACTTCTGAAGAGCTTTTTATACCTTAGTCAATTGTGCAGGTGTCTAAATGCAGCGCTGTGAACTGCCGTCGATCAGACTAGTAAAACTGCAGTTGAACATCATCACAAGTACTCATTTCACATTGCCTCAGATGTCCTGTGGATCAGAAAAGTTCACAAAATGATACAAAAGTTCTAGAAGAAGGTTTTGGGAAGAAGAGACACTGTGATACTTTCTTGTGATGTGTTAAATTCAGTGTAAATATGGTATCTTACACTATAAAACAATATTGATTACGTTGGACCGTTTAATCACTGCAAGAGTACTTCACTTTCCATTAGGGTTTTGTGTAGTTTACATCACATCTTATAGCCCTCTTTACAACATCATATCACAGATACTGTATCATCTTATCTCACACATTTGACCGACCGATAATAGCGTGTCGAAATTGGCTTGAATTAGCTAAAGTTAGCAGTTGACATATTGCAAGTAAAAACGCTGTCCTTTTACAGCAAAACACATTGGTGATGAGTGAAGAATGGACAAGAGGCAGAACTCTTCCAGACCATCTGGTTGGCCCAGTCCTTAAGTATGTGTTAATGACACACTGGGAAAAGTTGCATTGCACACTCAGCAATCATTCAGCAACCTAAAGGCATCCAGTCACTTTAAGTACTCCTATAAGGTCTTAAGAGCTGACTTGCATTCTTTGAAATGCCATCATACTTTAATGCAGAGTCATTCTTACAAGCACGGTGCACAGAAACAACAACTTAAAAGGTATGTCATTCCAACATGTAGTGAGGATGATGTCCGGGGTTACATTGGTGCTTGATATTGACATATCCTGAGGTTAAACATCTCTAATATTGAGCTGTTACTGCAAATACTTTAAATGCCATATTGTAGCCACAAAGCTCACATTCACAATTAACTAAAACCACCCACCCAAGTACTGTGCTACTGTAATCATTGCCATATCAGAAATGGCTTTATCCAAACTGTTCAGCAATGTGGGGGGTGTGTCGGCCTTGAATCAGTTCAGCTCAGCTGGTGATACTCCAAGCTGATATCGCTGGGAGGGTTTCTTTATGAGCATTTCAAATGTGTAGTGGAGTATGTCAACCACTGAAGCTGCACCTTCACTCTCCACTCACTCCTGGGTGTGAAAGGATGGGGGCAATGGGGGGTGGGAACTCTAGCTCATAAATCCCCAGTGTGTGCCCGCATGTGTGTGATTGCATGATTGTGCACAGATGGATAGGCAGCAAGGAAGAGGGAGGAGGAAGAGACTGTGGATAAACAAAGTGAAACTCCGAATATTGAACTTACTGCTCTCCATCTCACTCTGTTTATGGTGATTAATGTGTTCATGGCCAGTGGGTTAAAGGCAGAGACAGATACATAAATGTTTAAAAAAAAATGGAGAGAAATGTGTGACTCCTGCAGAGAAACGTGGAATTCCTCAGATGTCCTGAGGAGAAGACTGGGGAGGCATGCAGAGACTGGTTTCCTCAGTCCTCAGTAGGCAGACCAAACCAACATGTGTAGTGTGTGAGTGTATTAAACACAGACATCCATTTGCAATAGCCAAACCATGGCCAGAGGTGTACGTATTAACATGTTCAACATGGGAGGATTGGAAATACAGCTGAAATATCTTGACTTTGATCCTCATGGTCGAGACTTCCACAGAAGTCATCAGAACATTTAAAGCTTATCATAAAGAGCATTCCTTGTCAAACTAAACCCTGTTAACTGATCCAAATTACTTAACCCACCTTTTTCTTTCTGTTTCCCAATAGGAAGACAATGAGATCCCTTCCAGCGTGTTAGTCAAGGACTCCCTCAAGACCCCACAACCAAGCCAGTATGATGCAGAATCAACCCGGCCTACTCCATCTGTGACCGGCTCTATTGATGGTAGCCGTGCCCAAGAGGAGGGTCTTCAGACCATTAGCCTGTCTTCCGATGAGGATGATTATCTTGCAGAGCACCCTGATGGGGAAGAGATGCTGGATGTTGAGAACGCTGTGGGTTTGGGCACTTCCCGCACATTTGAGAGAAGGGCTGACAAGTTCAAGCGCTCCAGCCTGAAGAAGGTTGATAGCCTCAAGAAGGCCTTCTCGCGCCAGAGCATTGAAAAGAAGATGACCCAGATCTCCACCAAGATTGTGCCACCAGAGAAGCGTGAGAAAATCAAGAAGAGCCTCACCCCTAACCATCCTAAAAGCCCAACTGCCAAGAGCTCCTCTTTCAAGGTGTCTCCCATGACCTTTAATGTCAAGAAGGTCAGAGACGGGGAGGGCTCCCCACAAGATATGTGCTCACCTGGGGAAGAAGCCCATGTGGAGATTCCTGCACTGGGCAGCTTAGATGGCGATATTCCCTTAGCAGAGGTGCATACACAGGAAGGTGTTTTTGAGGAGATTCAGGAGATTCTGAATCCCTCCACCCCAGATAGCATGAAGGCAGAGCTGGCAATCAATGGAGAGGCACCAAGCATTGAGTGCGAGATCAATGGTGATCGTTGCGCTGGCCTGGCAGTTCCAGAGAATGATGATGTTGGCGAGGAGGAGGAGGAGGAAGAAGAGGAACAAGAAAAAGAGAAACACAAAAGCCCTGTTGAAACAGATACCCAGATTCCCACAGCAACTACTGCAACAATTGCTGTAGAGCAAGTGTCTTAATATGATTAGATTTTAGTGAGCATTGATTCTAGCTTCCTATTATTTCCTTTCTTCCCAAAGTTCCTACATTTATGAACACCCAGCAGACTCAAATTATCCCTCCATTGTAAACAGTTGTGTTCTTTCATAAAACACCCATGTACACTAGAAATATACTCTCGGTTTCTAAAGGTTGTCCATCCTTGAACCATTCCTGCAACACTTTGATTATCACCAGCATAGTCTAAAAACCTGGACACTAACTGCCTACGCAACTAGACTTCACAGTATCCCAGAATCAGAATTCAGTGCAAGTGCTTCCTAAACCCTGTAGCAGGGTTGTCCAAAGAAAGCAACATTGCAGCAATGCACCATAACTCACTCCCATCAACTGGTGCCCACCTCTTCAATAGCAGCACATCTCCAGGGCGCTGGGCCAACTATCTCTCTCCTGCTGTGTTTGTCTGTCTGTGGAGCTCTTTTCCTCACTGACAGATAGCCTCTTTGTTCTTTGTGGGGTTTGTGAAAAATAGTAAATCTTTGGCTATAGTGGTACTGCCCACAGCCTGTTGAGGCAGTGTGTTGCCAGGTTGTGCAAGAGTTGGAATGGGATATTTCTGGGTTTTCAGCGAAAAGGTCCTGGGTTGTTTTGTTGTGAACTACAGGTTGCTTACTGAATTGGACTGGACCTGTGCTGAAAAAGCCCAGATCTTAACTAATAGGTGACTATACTTTAGTAGTCCGAGTGGCGTTGTCTTGCCTCCTGTCCTTCACCTGAACTTGTCAGATTGTTTGTTACTTCTATAGTGAGCTCCAATTCATCATTAATGACCTAGTAATTTGTGACTGCCAATTGAGTCAGTAACAATAAACCTCCAGGCGCTGAAAATTAGAATAGATGTCATATGAAAATGTTCTTGATAATCGAACTAATTTTCGGAGCCCCTAAAGGGACATGGGGTGGGGGGGGGGGGGGGTGCGCACTAGATACTATGCTATCTTGTGAGCACTAGATACTATCTTGTGCGCACTAGATACCCAGTGTTGTGGCGAATCAACACGTCTCATTTCAATATTAAAATTAACCATGTGTTGATAGGTCACCACACGAAAATGTAACCAATGAAATTACTTATTTTGACACACGCCAACAAGTATTAAACTAACAAGGTAATGTGTCAAAAGGCGGACCGTTTTTGTTATTTTCTCAAAAGGAGGACAAATGAGTGTCCGGCTGCAGGACAGGGCATTTAAATGCGGACTGTAACAAAAAAGGTTACAGATTAATTTACATTTATTTTTTTGTTACAGACAAATTAGTTTAATACTCATTTGAATATTAAAATTAGCCATGTGTTGATTCGTCACAACATGGATCCGTTCCTATCTAGTGCACTAGATAGTATCTAGTGCGCACTAGATAGAACTAGAAAGTATATAGTGCACACAAGATACTATCTAGTGCTCACTAGATAAGGATCTAGTGCGCACAAGATAGGGATCTAGTGCGCACTAGAAACGTTTCTTTTCTTTTTTTCCCCCCACATGTCCCTTTAGGGGCTCCGTACTAATCAATACCATGAGAATGGTAAAAGATAAAATTGTTTGCAAGTACCATTTAACATGTTTGTGCTCAATCACAATGATGCAAATGAAGGACATCATTGCGAGTTAGAAGCTGCTCTAGATGGCGAGAAAAATAAGTGAGTGACTCAAAGAACAGGTTTTAACACTGACTAGCTTTCCCTTTTTGCAGCCCTTTGTCTTTCCTGCAGGGCAACTTTGTATGTTTATGTACAGGAATTATTATGTGAGGCACATTACTCTCTAGGAATTTACAGCTTATACACCATAAATTAGTAACTCTATGATTACTGCCTTGAGTGTGTGTACGTTATACAATAAATGTTGTATATGTGAATTTTTTTTCTATGAGTTACTATGTGATACTTGGGTGTTTGTAAGCCGTCTCTTTCTTTCAGGTATCCATAACTTGCATGGTGAAATGTTTACTCAGTTTCATGTGTTTAGACATAAACGCTATCTTATACATTTGCCAGGCCACCATCACTTATTACCCCCTCCTCCTATATACATGCACACACATACTCCTACAGTGCCTTCACCTTGCACATGCTGGTATCAGTAATTGCACTCCAGAAGGGATGGATTCCTATGTTTTTGTAGATAAGAGAGCGTTTAAAACAGGCCTGATTTTTTTTTCTCTCTCTCTCTCTTCTGAGGAATTCCTTGCAGCTATCACTGTATGGGGCATAATCAAGGTTTGATACCAACTACATAGAAACAGAGAAAGTTTTAAGTTCAAAGGAGCTGCAAATACATTCACAATCAACTTCATAATTTGAGGTCATGCCTGAAAGTTTCTATAAAGTGACCTTCCTCTTGTTGCACATTGTTAGTGCTTTCCCAGCCTAGGTTACAGCTGTCCAATGCCATGACTCCCCAAAAATAATTTAGCAAGTGATACCAGGTGCCAAGGATCCAGATACTAGAGAGGTCACAGAAGTGAATAAAGGCAGAGGACAGCATTCCTAGCTTTGACGGATGACTCCTGCTCAGCCCATTTTTCATGCTCTTGGCCTCCTTGTTGAGACCGTGCAAAAAGGGGAAGAAGCTCTCTGGAGCCACAGGTGTTCTGCCCGTGGAGGCTCCTGGGCATGAGCTTGTAGTGGAAGGGGGACAAGTGTGGGTGTTGCGAAGTGTTGGAAAGGACTTCAGTTGTTGGAAAGGATGATAAAGTTGCCTTGGGGTTATGCATATGTGCAGCCTGGCAGAAAGGTGTTAAAATTGTGAGAGTCTCAAATGCAATTGAGCTTGGGAACTGAAATATGTTGTGGGGGTATACATACTATAATTTAACCTATACCCCACTACATTCATTATCCTTCCTTTTTACATGAGGTAAAACAATGGATTTTTAACTTCTTTATGTCAAAATATAGTGCCCTAAATATTTTGGTGTCTTAACTATGCAAGACAATGACTTTATTGAGGTCTGGTGGAAACAGGAGAAAAGCCGTGCAAATGAAATAGCAGAAATATTTTCAACAGTAGTTGACTTTAAAGCCTTAAAGTCCTTCATGCCTTACAAAAATGAACATTTGTTCAATGGGATCTTTAATAAATAATTTGACATACATGATTTTAAATAACGTTACGTTAGCTGTGCTTAGTTATTCTGAAGATTTTCTTTCTTTTTAATTCTTTTTTGTATAAATCATCTTACTGAAAAGGGATTGAATACTAGGCTCGTGTACCTTCTGAGTACAGTAGAGGTTCAAATGTGACTGCCTTTGAGGTATTTTCTGCTTATTCGTGCAAATGTCTGCTGATTTTAAACATGTAAAAGGCCTATCTAGATTTGTGTATGTGTGTAAAAGTCTGTTTTTATTTGTCGTGAAATCAAACTGTTAAATTTTGGATAATATATGAGAAATTATTTTTGTTGGAAAGTTGAAACTCCACGTATACTACAGCGTTGTCAGGTAGTGTTTAACATCATCTTTGTTCATACAGAGTTTTTACTTTCATGGCCATTTAGTTAATCACTTAAACCAAAGACATTTCCATCACAGAAAAAAAGATTCCCTGCCACTTGTGTGTTTAAATGTACTCCTGACACTCGTTTCAAGCATCTTGTAAACATGCAGGCATTTCCTTTTTAAAAAATGTAGTATTGTATACATCAATAAAGATTTTATAACATTCAAGTTTCGTGTGTGGTGTCTATTTGCAGTATGTCAGGTTAAATAAATGTCACTGCACATGAATTAGATAATAGTAGTTAATGTTCTGTGCGTCATTCCTGTTGTGAGCCCAGTGACTCGCCTGCCTGACCTTTAGTGCCCAAGGAAACACATAGTTAACGTTTTGGTGTGCTTATGCCACTGCCAGTTTGGAGATAACTGTAGGTCACAGCATTGTAATCTAGTGAACCAAAATGTAGGCAACAGGGTAGTGGAGGATTAACCTGGGTGGAGGGAGTGGTTCGATATATCAGCCCTGCTTTGCATAGCACAGTTTGTGAATTGAGAGTGGTCTATATAATCAAGATCAAATGTGTTGGGATCAGAGCCGCAATAAAGAGTTTCACCCACATTTGATCACATACCCTAGCATTATCTATCCATCCAAACAGCTTTAGTGTTAATTTCCCATTATTTGATGTGTCTGGCTTTTAGATTTCTGCCTTCACCTCCACCCCTTTCCAATGCAGGTGGGTGGAATTTCATTTTAGTGCTATTAAAAGCTGAAAAACACTTTAAAAAAAGTTTCTGAGAAATACTTAAAACACACCTTAAACTGTTTTTATTGGACTTTCTAGAACTTTCTACATTAGAAACGGTCCCTATTTGTTCTGGCATGATCTGTGGCGTATCCAGACCAACAGGACACGTTTCCATTCACCTCCATTGTATTTGGGCAGTGGCAGAAATCTCAGGTAGTTTGCATTTACGACCAAGGAGTAACGTTAATTTGGCCATGAATATTAAAACTGTCTGCAAGTATGTTACAAAGAAACACACACAAAAGTGAAAAAGACGACTATTAAAGAAAGTGCCAGCCACATGAAGGACACACAGGGAGTCGAAACTGAGAAAGGCAAGACACGATGTTGTAAAAAGGTAAGGACGTTTGTTCCACATCCAGACAAAATGACCAAAAGACATAACAACATAGTAGTGTCGAGGTCTTGTGTGTGTTTAAGTAACATATTGTAACGTTATTCGTTGCATTTATCGAGTTATTTCAAAGTGTTGCCGTAAAAATACCTCCACGGAGGGTTTTTAAATCAACTTCCGTGGGTGAGCCGAGGTGTTTCTATGGTGTTTGTCTCCCTCCCGTGTCCGAACCCGCGCTAACACCCACCTTGTGCTTCTTCTACTACACGGTCTATCGTCATTACCGGCGGCACAGCTACAACAAGCTACCAAACAAAACCATACAAATATTTCTTCGAGTCATTTTCTGAAGCACCAGGATAAATACACCCTGAATGAACGCGTTGGTTATATCATTAAAACGAGTCTTCGTGATATATAGAGTTTGTACAGTCACGGTGGCCGAGAGGTTAAGGCGTTGGACTCGAAATCCAATGGGGTTTCCCCGCACAGGTTCGAATCCTGTTCGTGACGATTTTTGTTTTGTTTAGTTACGAAACATGCTTTAGACAACACAGCAAATCAAATTCAATGGATTTATAATAAGTGATATAAAGCTGTGGCGTACTATCATCGTATTAATAATTATTTATTAATAATTAATACTCCTATTACTGTGACTACATACATTTGGTGTTAAAATAATAATAGTACAATTAGTTATAACAAATAATGTGACATAATCTTAACCGTCGTTAGTTTCATCGTTGACACTGAACTCTCACATACGTGGTCTTATATTCTCGCGTTGTTTGTAGGTGGAATTCATTTGGTACCAACCAACTACTTTATTTATTTTCTGTAAACAGGTCAGCACGTTGTTCGCTTACAGTTGTGACTGCATTGTGTGTAGAAATAGACGTCCGATAATTGTCGTTATCTGTCGACTCGACTGTATAACAGCACACAAAAAGAAATTTCTCCGTGTATACCCCTTCCCTATACAGAATAATGGAACTGACCCAGTTAAATAAAAGTGACCGGCAGTACTCGCTGACGTAGTTTTTGGGGCATTGTTGAAGCAAGGGGAAAGCGTGTAGTCAACAGCTTGTACAGATTTTAAATAGCGGTTTTTTAGGGGGGGCTTTAGTATTGTTTAGGCATAAATAACCAGGACACTTAACACAAGGTTTTTCGAACAACTGCAACGTTGTAGGGGCCACATTTAGATACAGACACACTAGTCTTAAAACAAAGCATTTGGCCAGACTGCGCGCTAGTAAAGCTAACCAGCAGTTCCTTTTACTCACCAAGGACTCACCAACGGTCGATTTAAAAAAAAAAAAAAAACGTTACATTAACGTTAACTGGAGTTCTGTTACATGGTCGAGGGAGATAACCGTTAATAACGGTTACCTCCAAACAGTTCGCAACACAGACAGTTTCTCTGATCTGGCGTAACTTACAGCCAGTGGAGGAAAACTAAAACAAATAACATTTTAACTCGCGATTCTGGACCTGTCGGCCTGTTAATACTATTTTATTTTATATCGACATTGTGTGCTAAACCGTTCAGTGCCTACTGGCATCATTAAGAGTGGTTTTTTTTTTTTTTTACACCCCCACACGTTAATTTAACGTTATGTGAAGAATGAAGCTGCCGTTATGGCGACACACAGCAGAGACTCATATCCTGACATTAAAACGAGGTAGCTAACGTTTTAGCCAAGTGCTAGCTGTGTTTGCTGTTGAAGAGGCCAGTTAATGGTCGTCTTTCGGCTCTTTTATTCAAGTGTCAGTTAATGGTACTTGGCGTGAGTGTAGTCGACTGTCTGAGTAGTCGACCCTTTGTGTTTATAAACAGTTACGATAACGTTACGGTGTGTTTTTTTTTTTAAGTTGTAGTGGTTACTTAGCATCCGGCTAACGGGCTAATTGGTTAGCTATCGGAGCTAACGCTAACGTTGTGGCTACCCATTACAGAGTAGCGACATCCAGCGCTTACTGCTGCTGAGTTTAAGTCACAGGATCGGTCATTTGTTTTTCTACGAGGCTAATAATGGCAGCCCCAACAACCGAGGCCGTGTTCTTGATAAAGGATGTGAAGCCCGGGTCGAAAAACCTGAATATCGTATTCATCGTATTGGAAATAGGTAAGTTAAGTTAGTTGGACCGTGACTGTAAAAGCGTCTAACTCCATACCATCAACTCGTGTTTCTTTAAGGGGCCATAACCTTACATATTACAGTCCAAATTGACCGTGAACAGGGGTTATGATTTAACTACTTATACCGAACTTGCTTTTGTTCCTTTAGGACGAGTAACCAAAACGAAAGATGGTCATGAGGTTCGCTCCTGCAAGGTGGCAGACAAGAGCGGGAGCATTGCTATCTCTGTGTGGGACGAGCTCGGCAGCCTTATTCAGCCAGGGGACATCATCAAGTTGACCAGAGGGTAGGACTGTTCCCAAGCTGATGACACACTTACTGACAAAGCAACACACACACACACATTCATTTGACATGTGGTTTTATACCTGACCAACTTTGTCTTAAATTTGTTATCACAAAGTTTAACAAACTCTTTTCTGTGTTAGCTATGCATCCATATGGAAAGGCTGCCTGACCCTTTACACTGGACGAGGAGGGGATCTACAGAAGATTGGAGAGTGAGTAGCAGGCCAAAGATTTATTTATACTTGACAATATTAAAGTTATTGTCCCTGTTTGAATCCTGGTTGACATCTTCTCACACAGCATCAAACCAAGAGACGGACAGGGGGACATTTGTCAGTAACATGTTGGTTTTATCCAGTGAGCAGCCTCCTGTAGAGAATAAACTTTCAATGTTTTTCTTAAAAGAAAAACCTATTAACCCACCTATTAGACAGTTGCAGACTGTTCCATACTTTCATCCCAACCAAAGACAGAATTTCTGAGGTTTGAATGTTACGCTGACCCACGGCTTTTGTTTCCACAGGTTCTGCATGGTGTATTCAGAAGTGCCCAACTTCAGTGAACCAAACCCAGAGCTGCTATCCCAAGGAAACCAGCAAAACAAGTCTGTGAGTAGCCATGCACAGAATGGATCAGAATATTCTCATAAAGGAAAATCCGCCCAAATGATGCTGAACAACACACCTCTGTTTAATGACCTATCTTAGACTTCTTTATTGGATCACTTTGCATGCTAAATAAGTCCTCAGTCCAGCCTAATAACAATGGTGGTAGGGTCTTTTTAAAGGTGACATTCTCTTCCACTAACAGGGTAAATCAGACCAGAATCAGAGGGGGAATTCTCCGCCCAATCAGAATTCAGGTACACCTGCTCCACCAGGTCAGTATATTTCCCTTAATGCAAATAAGCACTGCTCTACCAGTCGCTCACTTACACGACACAGCAGAGTTGTGCATGTTCTGTAGAATAGTACAAAGTAGTGGTGTCAGTACAGATAGGACTAGATTGTTTGTATTTAATCTGTACTACAATAAAAAATTCTTTCAATCTAGTAAACGTTTGTTTGCATACATACAATAACTTTTTGACTCAACAGATCTGATTAAATGAAGTGAAAATATGACAAAGGTATTATGGTGCTTTTTTTTTTTTTTTTTTTTTTTTTTGCTTACCTAAATTTAAACTGAGACATCTCTTGACATCCTTAATGTGTTTGGACAATAGGAGGCACAATAGGCCTTTTTTTCACAGCAGACATTTTGACTTGCCATAGTAGGAAATGTAACATCAACAATGGTTCTTTTTTATTTTTTTAAAGTGTGCCAGTAATTCATAACGGTGTGACAGCGGGCTGGCATGCACCTAAGCAGTTAAATGGAATTCAGCCATCATAAATTATCAATCACACCTGTGCTTTCCCTGTTGTGACAAGTCAAAACATCATATGGGAAGAAGGTCTATGAAGGGATGAAATGTCTCAAAGGACCAGCGTGTGGGGATGTAATGACTGACTTGTCTTTCTCACCCCACAGGTAATGGTGCCATGCCGCCATTTGCCAACAACAATAACAACAACCCACCACCTGGTGCATCCCGCGACCCTGCGTTCGGGAGCATTGGGCGACCCAACGGCCGGTCACCTGGAAACGGTGCACCCCCAGCTACTGCTGCAGGAGCCCCAGCAGCCGCAAAGTCTTCAGTTACCATTAGCAACGGCAGGGACCCACGGCGTGCCAAAAGATGAAATTGGGGTTACGGGGGATCATGTGGGAAGACTATGGACCTCCCAATTTCCCCCTGCCCCCCTTTTTTCTTTTCTTTTTTTTAAAAACGTCTTTCCCCCTTTCTCGTCACATCTTATATTGGCTTTCAAAATACTGAAATAAATTAGGGACTACTTGCATCGTTTTTATACAGGCTAACATAGTCAAATGTGTCGTTTGTCATGCGTAGTAGCGCTCTCAGTAAGCAGCACAGTGTGATTGTGATATACCACTTGATGCACTAGCGGGACTTCTTATATAGTTGAGCCTTGGTGGTTGAGTTGTGTTCAGCCTTCTCAGCCCCACACCCTTATCCTCTAAATCTCACTGAAAATTGCCAGTTCTCTGCCAGTGTTACCCCCCCCCTACACTGTCCTAACCCCCTTCCCTATTTTCTTTCAAACTATACACCCTACTTGAACACTTGATGCACTTTCTTCTCTTAATTTATGTCTGGGCAAGGTTGCCTGTCATTTAAATCAGGAAATCATCTTCTGCTTTTTTTTTTTTTTTTTTTTTTTTTTTTTGTGTCGTGGAAAAAGGCCTTAAGTTGGTGAAAATGAGTTCTTGGACTGAATGCACAAGCAAAATTCAAAGGGTCTTCTCTCTCTTAACCAAACTGTATCCGAAGTGACTCTGTGACAGGAAAGGTGTTAGTTTTGAATTTTTAATGGTAGATTGAGACTGTTTTTTTTTCATACATGTTTTTCTTGTTTGCCATCAATTGTACCTTGATCAAGGTGGGACCACTTAAATACTGGCAAAACGGTTCACCGAATAAATTTTACAGTAATTCTGCTGCCACATTTGTTTTTTGTAGTTATTGTTAATGTCAGTAAAATATTTGTCCAGTTTGTTATACTGCACTTCAAAATGTTTAGAATGGCCTTGCATACTAATATGGCTAGAATTAAATATATTTAACAGTACCACAATCAAACCCCTACACAAGAGCAGTAGAAAGGGGCCCATAAGCCCTCCAAGTGACCACTTGGGGCCTGGCATGGTTTAAAATGACACTGCCATCTTTAGATCACCATGCTATCACTAACAGATTTAAAGTGGGCCTCCCATTAAATATCATGTGCTTCTTTTTTAACTCTACAGCATCACCAAGTGGCTTCAAAAATAAACTACATGTACTATATGTGCTGTATTTGAGCAGCGTGCACCTTCTACCTATTTAGAAAAAAAGGGATAAAATCACAGTTAAGTTGAAGTGGAGGAACATTGTTTTTTTTATTTAACTTCCTTTCTCTGAGTTTTTCTTTACAAAACGAAAGCCTATTTCTATTATATGCATTGCATTCATTCCACTTTGAAGCAATGCATTGCTTACATCAAAACCCTGTTTCTTCATATCCTTTGTTGCACCAAGCACTTATGACCTCTGGATGTTGACGTGACCAATCTCACTTTCGATGCACTTGCACTTCATTTTCAGTGTGTCCAAACACAAAGAGCGGGTAGAGATGCTACTCAAATTTAGATTATTTTACATATGACACACACTGAGTCACTCATGTGTCTCATGCTTAGTCTAATGCACAACTCTCTGTTACGTAGGGTGGCGTGGAAACAAAGCCACTGTCATTGTTCTGTGTGTCACTGTAGCTACATTACATTTAAGAGTGGATTAGGGCTGTAGGACGATGTGAATCTGAAACGTATAAAAACCCAGTCTTTTATGTTTAATAGCAGTCTGCAGTCACATGGGAATCTGAACCATGTGTTCAAAACATGTTTATGTAATTCCACCTATGATAAAACAGAAACACTTGTGACACTGGAAGTTGAAACACATGAGAAGTGTGGCAGGAAATGTGATGCTAGACGCTCATGTGTCAACACAGATGAATGTCATGAGCTTGGGACTTCCTCTTTGCAGTGGTCAATCAGCAGTGTAGTCGCATCATGTGGCTTACCTTATTTCAAATTTTCCTGCATGTTGGGGCCCAGATAAAGGTTTCTGCCCGTTGCCCTCATCAGCTATGGCGGATTCTGTTCTGTAAATTAAATAACTAACCTAATGTTTCCAACATTTATGGAAATATGCATATGATATTGTTCATTCTGTTTAAATATTATATTAACAAGGGCATCAAATAAACAGCATGAGTGTGTTGCAAAATTTGAGAAGCAGGCAAAATTTAAGTAACAATGGGACTTAAAATGTTTCTGATATACTGGAATTTTTTGAATATCTTGATTATTTGTTCAGTGTTTATTTTGAATTCAGAAACTTTACATGAACTAATGCTTTCTCTTTCGATTGTGCATACAGTGTGATAGCAAATCTCATGACACTGATGATTCAGATAATGAGGCATGGGTTTGTTCATGGGGAAGCACCGTGGTTTAAGAATAACCAAACAGTGACAAGTGAAAAAAGTCAACAAACCCTTGACAAAGAATTACTGGAAATACAAAAATCTATTATAGAAAAGTAATATGTCAAGCAGTGTGGTTACAAATACAAGTACAAGTATATTGTGTGACAAATGCAACTAAACTGATAACAGTAATATAATTAATGATGTCTTTTAATATACAAAAGTAGTTTTGTATACTACATCCACAGAAATATGAGAAAAGGAGATCTTAAACACTACATCCAACTATATTTTAAAGGTTTGGTTTTGATTTGATTCATGAAATCATGTCTGTCACTTGTGAATTGTTGAGCAAATCCAAATCTGTGTATGTGAGGCAAACAGGAAAATGGACCTATGAGTAGGGTGATGGGAGGGGTGTAGAGACATACATAGTTTGTTCTTTGTGCCCTTGTGACATATTCAGTGCCTCTGTCAAAGAAGACACCACAATGACTGGTGAGTACTTGCATCCCCATAATAACTTACATAAGAACTTGCTTTAAATTGATTGAATTGATTTAATGATTGCATGTATTCATAGCAAACTATTTGTAACCTTTACTGTGTCTCTTAAGTATGTAAAAGGATATTTATAATTCAGTATTTTGATGGAAATGCTGTATAAAAATCAAGCAATATAGGTTATTCTTTTAATTTGAAACCATAAAAATGACATTTTACTGTTTCATGCTATTTATTCTAACACTGTACGGCACATTAGTTTGTTCTGTAGTTTCATCTGTAGATGTAAAGGCGTGCCGTGACAGCCTTTGTATGTATACCCTGTAACATATAATCTGATCTGTTAAAAAGCACCTTTAGTATTTTGATTAAGCTTATGTGAACAGGTTTACAATAGTGTATTTTATATGACTAAAATTGTATTTTAATTGCTGTCCTCAGATCCAAACACATCTTCTTTTGTCTTAGACTTCGGCATTATATACGAGGAGCTCAACTTCACTTATAATTACACGGAGTTCGTCGTCAACCCTGACACGCAGCCCTGCAACCCTTTCTCCATGCCAGATGGAGTGATGATTGGTGTCGTTGTTTTTTACGCCCTCATCTTTCTGCTGGCGATTCCTGGAAATATGGTAGTGGGGCTTGTGATTGGCCTCAGCAAGCACTCCCTCCCTCCCTCTGACCTCTACCTCCTTCACCTGGCAGTTGCCGACCTCCTGCTGGCCTTTACTCTCCCATTCTTGGCCATCTCTGTCAAAATGGGTTGGGTGTTTGGAGACATCATGTGCAAAGCTGTCACCATCCTCCAAGAGCTGAGCTTCTACTCCAGCATCCTCTTCCTTACTTGCATTAGTGTGGACCGTTACATGGTGATTGTGCGAGCTATGGAGGTGCGCGGGGCTAACCGACAGCAGGTCAGCTGGGTGGTTTGTGCTGCTGTCTGGGCTGTTGGAGCACTTCTGTCTCTGCCGGGGCTGTTCTACTCTACCTTCTCTTCTCAAAACTCCACGCAGATGGTGTGTGCCGAACAATATGATGCCAGCAGTGCTGACCTGTGGCGGCTGGTCACCAGAATTCTTCGCCACACTTTGGGTTTCTTTATCCCCTTGGCTGTCATGTTGCCCTGTTATGGAGTAACCATCAGGCGCCTCCTTCACCTCCGTGGAGGGTTCCAGCGGCAGCGAGCCATGAGAGTGATTGTGTTCGTGGTCTTCGCCTTCCTGCTCTGCTGGACCCCCTACCACATTGCAGTGATGACAGACACATTCTTCAGGACAAAGATAGTGCCGTACCAGTGCCCAGCGAGGATGGCGGTGGATCAGGCCATGTTCGCCACCCAGAGTCTGGGCCTGCTTCACAGCTGTGTCAACCCAGTGTTGTATGCTTTTGTGGGAGAGAAGTTCAGAAGGAGGTTGCTGCAGATAATGAGGAAGATGGGCATTGTGGAGAGAGCATCAGTGACGAGATCCAGCAGGTCTTCACTGTCATCAGAGATCACATCCACATTCATGTGAAATTACCGCAGGCACTTTGAACTATTTGGCTAAATTGAACATATCAGTGGGTTTACTGCTTGATCTCAGGTTCTGCACAACAGATGACTAGTTTTGATACTTTTTTATTGCAGCTTGTATTAGGTTGACTTTTCAAAACTCAACCAACAAAAAAACATTTGGACTAAATTTGCCTTGCATTTTGCTAATATTGTAAATATGTTTTCATACTTTGTTATAATGTTTTTTTAATATCTTATGTAACTTTTGGTTTCAATCCTGTGTGCACCAGGGCCATGTTGCTTAAAAATAAGCTGTAAACATGTTTTGTGGCTACCCATTTAAATCCCCTTTCTTTCATCACACATACCTAGTTCTGAGAACTGCGTAGAACATGTTTGCCAAGTTTCAACTTCAGGTTTGACTATATTTCCTCACAATAATACCGTGTCACAACATCAAGAAGAAACATCCGCTGATGAACAACTTGAGATGCAACTGAAAGCTCTGGACAGATTTGGACCTGGAGTTAAAACGGTTACTACATACTGTATGAATGTGTGAATTACCAAAATGATTTTCTTTGAAAGCATTTTACTTACTTTTTATCAACTGCAGCAGTATTTTTTTTAAATGTTTATAGTAATATATTCACATTCTTGTAAGTAAGACTGTCTGAATGTTATGTATATTGAGCTAAAACAACAATTTGTAGTGTTAGTTGCAATTATCATTAAAGTTTTATATAAACATACACACTGCTCTCTGTTTCCATTTAATATAACACCTTTAATCATCTGATAGAAGATGGGACCATTTAGAAACTAGTGGTATTTTGTTTTTTTTCTTACAGCTTGAAATAATAGAAGTGATGACTGCAGCAGAAACAATCCAGCAATCACTGGAGGTCAGAGAGGCAACGTTGTTTTCCTATGTACCGAAGAAAATGCTGTTTGATTCCAAAATGATGTCTGGGAGGTGCAGCTGAACAGGCACTACTATAGCAGAAGAAAGATATTTAAATTAAATGAGATAGTTTAGTTACAATAAGTGTTTTCCACAGTTGATTCAGGTTTAATAATTCCCACAGAACCCAATCAGTCCAACAGGGTCAGGTCAAACTTAACTAAATGAATGTGCTTGTTGCATGTTACATTATAACCATAGCATCAACAGTTTATTTGTATTTTCTATAAAGTCTCAAGTGTCCCAGTTAGTATGGATAGTTGCAGTTAATATAAGCTAATAAGCATATTTTATACACTACTACGACCACCACCACCACTACTATTACTAAGGCTAATGTTAGCGTATGGTGACTGATAAGTCCAGAGAATGTCTAATAAGTAGACGGGCTCTGGTGAGTCTTACTCTCTAACCGTAAACCATTTCTTTCAGGTCTTGTTGGATTTCATTTGTTGAGAATGTGTTGTTATAGCTGCCGTCAGCATATAGCATGTACGCAGTCTAGGTTTAAGTGTGTGTAAGTTTACGGTAGTTACAAAGGATTTGACTTTATTATGTTAATATTGTCATTCACGTTTCTCCTTAAATCAAACTGCTTATGGCTCATATTGGTCATTAATGCTGCTTTCATTTCAAATTCCTTGTTGTTTGCTTTGTTTTTGTTTTTTTTTAATGGTGAGCTTTATTTTCCAACACTGAACTGCTCGATCAGGTCTTGTTTAATGGACTCTGTAATCCTTATTGAGGAAGCTCACTTTTAGCAATATGCTAGCAGTATACACACTAATTAGAGCTTTGATTCTTTTCCCGAACCCGATTGGACCTGACGCAGCCCCCTGGGCTCAGGCCCAAAACTGCTGCCTCTAGGTCAGGCTCAGGTCCAGATTGGACTGAATTAGATAAAAAAAATATATATATATAAATATATATAATGTGTTATTAATAATGCATGCAAATGGTTTTAATAAAAACTGGCACTATTTGCACAATGTAGTTGACTTTAGCTCGTAGTAAACTTTATATTCATTCATTTATTGAATGATTTAAAGTTGAAATCCGGGTTCGGGTCGGGTTTGTGTTCAGAACTGCTTCAGTGGTTTGGGCTCGCACAGAATCTTTCTGGGGTCGGGTCGGGCCTGATTCCTTTGGACCCCATCAAAGCTCAAATAGTAATAAAGTATTTAACTTTAATTTGCCGCTCAATTTTCTGTTGCGCTACCACCGGTGGTTTGACCTCTGATTGATAATGCCTTGTATGTATACAGTTAGTAGTAAATTATATTTTAAATTGTTGTGAGCTCCAGTATTAAGAATCATTTGAATTCAGTTTGATTGAACATTTATAATTTATAAAGATTTATAAACATAAGTAATGCTAACAGAGTTAATCCAGGTGTTTTACTACCTAGGCACCAATTTTCAGTGGATATTAATACTCCAAATCTGTCCAGTATTCTTGCAGCACCGCCTCAACTTAGTCAGTAAATATAGAAGACACTTAAAATATCTGTTATAAAGCTGCGGCTGCCAGCTTGCAATGCTAATGCAGTAATACTGTTTTCTTTTTCATGATATTTGACCGCCTCAACACAATCTGGAAGCAATTGTCAGCCACTACATTTGACCTACAAATTAAATATCTGTCCCATACCGACCACCCGCCCCTCCTCTGCCTCTTTGCTAAGTGTTGCACCATCTCACATGTTCTACTGACCTCAGGTTGGCTAAAAATGACAAGGGGGTGGGAGCCTAGCAGTGAGTGGACAGACGGATCACCATGCAGCTGTCATTGTGAGGCTTGCTGGGCTGTGACTGTCATTTCCCCCTTCGGACTGACTGGCAGAGGTAGGGGGAGATCATGAGTGGGGTGGTTTAGCTCATGGGACGAGATTGGGGGGGGCACTGTGCAACTTGTTGGACGGGACTTGATGCTTACATTCAAACAGAAGCCAAGCAAGAACAGACCTGAAGGCCGCTGGGAGTAAAGAGGAAATTCACTCAAGATTCACACACCTTCCGCGGAAAGGTTTTGAGAAGTTATACTCTGTTGGGAAATGGTTACCAAAGGCTGATCAGGAAAAAGGAAGGGGTAAAGCAGGGCCGTCACTTTCAAGAGACAAGTCAAGGGAGCTGTTAATGCAACATGATCCAGTGGGTCTTGCCCTAAAAATACCTCTCGGCAGGAGAGTGGCTGCTAACTCTATCTGCTTAATTACCTGGCAATCAACAATTTATTTTTCTTCTTCGGACAACATCTGAGGTCAGAGAACAGTGATTTGAGGAGAATTTATCCGCGGCAGATATGTTTCTAGATATTTTGATTTGGCTTTTCAAGTAAAAGAGTGAGACTATCTAAAATTTAAAAATGTGAGAGCCTTGTTAGCTGTAATGTATATGTAAAGCCTGCTCACAGACTCTAATGCCCTCAGTGGAATTTGGTTTAGAAAACTGAGAGAGGGCCTGGTCCGTGTTGTAGTCATACAATCCACATACACATTTACAGAATCCATTGTAAGTTGATATCAAATCAGTCCAACCATGAGAAAAGCTGAGGTGCAAATGACCCTGAAAAAAGGGGCAGATGAAGCAGTGGCACCCCCGAGCCCCATCATCCCCCCAAAGCGGTCCAAAGCGAGCCCAGAGCAAGCCGTCCCGGAACCTGGAGGACCTGGTCTTCCCACCCCAACTCCACCAGTTTTTATACGCAAAATGAGGAACGCCGCAGTGGGGACAGGCTGTGACATCCGTCTCAAGGTAACTGTGGCTGGAGACCCCCAGCCGTCCCTGTACTGGTACCACAATGATGACCTCCTCAACATGGAGAACCAGGAGTACGGAGGGCTCTGGATTAGGGATTGCAAACCCAGCGATGCGGGCCTCTACACCTGCATCGCCAATAATCACCTGGGAGAGGCAAGGAGCAGCGCTGTACTCGCTGTCTTGGATCTGGGTGAAGGTAAAACTTAATGAATGCATTTCAAACTTCCGGGTCCTCTAATAGGGAAGTTTTTCTTTTTTTCGAGATCTATATTTTTAGCATTGCATGTGGTGTCTGAATCAAATACTGTAAGAAACCAAAATAGGATATTATACTTAAAATAGCTATTTCAAAAACCAGTTCCGCCTTTCTTTACAGTAACGTAGATTGCATCTATCTGATATCACAACATAGTTCAGTAATCTAATGCAGCATTCTTTAAGAATATCAGTACTAATGCTGTCTAGCTGACTGTAACAATTAGGTTTTTTACTACAGAATCATTTACTGGAATAACTTACATGAAAATTACCCAGCAAACCACTTTCATCCGAAAGGCCCAACCACCTGACTAGCAAGAAGTAACTTGAAAACATAATGTGAGCTTCCTGTCTAGCTGTCTAGCTTCCTGTTCCATTTCCTGGATTAAGTACTACATTACTGTAAGTGATAAAGATGACGAATTACTTACTACAGTTATTTCCCAAAAAATATTTGCTACATATAATGAAATATGTCCTTTGTTTCATGGCTCTAAAAAGAAAGATAAGAGAAGAAACAAAGTGGAAATATATATAAATCAGATATCCAGGCGTATACTTATCACACATACACAAGTATGTTGTTTTTAGATATAAAGCCAAAATCCTCTCTCTTCCCCTTTTCTTATAGAATGCCATTCAAATATTTCTTTACTACATATATCATAGCATACAATGGGAAGTATTTGAAGTATTGCAAAATATTACCTGCAATTGATGTATTTCCAAACATATGAAAATAGATTGTAGGTTAGTGCTAATGTCTAATGCTTGGTTTAGTTTTGCCACAACTGTTTCCCCAAGAAGCTGAAAATGGGCACAAAAGCAACAAGCATAGGAATAAACTGGTACTGTTCACAGACATCAGTAGCATCAAGAACTATTTTGGGGAACTTGTGTCATTTAGGTGTGATAGATTACTATATATACTGCACAAACTGGATTATAGCATTAGTTCAGATTGTCATCCATTTGGATTTTAAGTTTGTCCCTATATTGTGCAAAGAGGATAGAGAGACCCAACACTACATTTCCAAGAGATGTTTTTCTTGGATATTTTTGCACACTTGTTATGACTTTCAAGCTCTTGAAAGTCCTTTATCTAAATTGTTTGTACCTTGTTATACTCTTGGAGATCCAGATTTGAAAACAATATTTTCTTTGTAATATTGAGGAATTGTGGGAATCACCGTTTCAGATTAGCATACAAAGAGAAAGTTAATTTGATTTTGACCATGCATGCAGAAACACTGAAAATGAATCATTCTTTACACTTGCTTTTGACAAATTCAGCCAAAGTGAGCATTTCTGGGTGTATTACAGTCAAATTCCTCAATGTCAAACCAAATTAGCTCTTCTCTGTTAAAAGACAGACTAAGAAAACCTATTTTTATGCATCTTGTGTTCCAGTCCTGATCTAAATTCAGCTCACCTGGGTGCTTTGACCCCCTCAGCTGCTTTGAAAAATGACATTACCAGCTCCACAAATATGCCCTTCATATATCAGCTCAAGTACTTTGTCACTGTTCTGCAGTTCTTGGCGAGAGTGTGTAGTGGAAATCTTCAATTTAGAACTGCCTTTTCCTGCTGAGAGAGTATATGTAAGCACGCATTTGCATGTACAAAAATGTCAAGACTCATCACTGCTGCATGCGCTTCACTGTGAGTAAAGGTTTGGCAAATGATAGCATTATCTGACGGCGTAGAAAAAGGGACAGGGTGCTTACATAACAATCCCTGCTGGTTTCATTGTGGGAGCTTAAATTTGGGTACTAAAATAAAGCCGATGTCTGCAGACTGGACAACGTGATGACAAGTGGGTGCAGCAAGAAACCACAGTGTATTACATTTCCTTTCCTGTATAAATATTGGCTGCTTGGACTGAGTCCACATAAAAGATGCACCATCAAACGGGAGTACTTGAAAACTGCCTAGTTTATGAAAAAGATGCTGATAATAAAACATCTCTAAATTCTACACATAGAACATAGAAAAACATAACTGAGCTTTTCTTCTCAAATTCTGTTGTTTTTCAACTTAATATAAATCAGTAGGAGTATCTTTTTATGAATGAACAGATAAGAAAATGGACATAAGAAGCCTACAATATAAATACAGTACTCATACCACTCTGACATTGAATAGTGATTCATTAGTTTGCATAGATTTCAGGCTCGACAAGACTTTTTGATCTTTAAATTGGTTCTTGGTCCACAACTTTTATGGCAGAAATAATTTGTTGTTTTCAGTTTTCAAAGTTGTATCAAGGTCACCTCAATAATGTGTTCCGTGCGTCAGGGAAGCCACAATGTTTGGAAATACTGTACAACAGAGAAGTAACATTAAAGCACTATTTCACCACATTCTTGTGATACAGTATGATAGCAGTAATCATGAACACAGGACACTGCTCAAAAAGTGGTTTCGCATGAAGCAGGCAACACAACAGTCTTCTAGACTTCCCATAGTTCTGCTCAGTTTTGCTACTTTCAGCTGGATGAAAGCTTTGTTAGCATTAACAGTAAGGGTTATAAAAGCAGTAATCCATATGCTGGTATCCTTTGTATTGTGTTGTGGTGCACAAATCTAAGAAGAGATAGACTGTGTGATTTGTATGCAACATAAGTGATGCAGAAACTGAATGTTGAAAACAGTGCTGGCTCCTCAGTATTGGTCACAAATACATAAACTTTTTTAAGTTTTAAAAACAAGATCTTGGTTCAAAAGTTTTCCTTTGACTCTCCATTTTAACCTTCAGTTTGATTCAGTTCTACTGCTTTGCCATGTTGGTAGTCTACAGCTGTCCCATCACTCACTGATACTGCTCGAACTCTTTCTCTCTCCCTCTCTCTCTCTCTCTCTCCCTCTTTGAAAATGTCTCTCTGTACCGCCCCCTTGGTCCACCAACTCTCCCTAGTTATTTATACAGTGGAATGTGCCAGGCCTTAGATTTTTGTGATGTTAGCAGGCCAACATTTCTCCTGTTACATAGGAAGACATCACTGCTAATTTTAGCCCCGCACTGTGTGAACTTTTTTCCCCCCTCCCTCTACTGATCAGGAAAAGGATTTTATATCCAGAACATCTAGTAAATAGCGATGTCATGCATCTTTCATGATCCATACCGTTACTCAGTAATCTCTATCCTCTTTTGAGTTCTGCATTTGTCTGTCTAGTCAGTCGATTTTTCATTCATTCGACAAATTAATTAACGTATAAACAGAAATAAAGATAGATAAGAGACTCAAATATGTTTTGATAGACAGCACGAATGAGTAACTTCAATTCAAAAAATAAAAGTAACCTAGATCTTTAAGTCTGCATAATCGATTTTTGGCCACTTGGGGGCAGCGAAACAAGTTGTAAACGCAACATTGGAATATTATCATCGTATAAAGTTATTATAGTGATTGCATTAGCTTAGTAAATAGTTCACCATTTACCCATAGAAGACACAGAGCAACATTAGCAATCACTTGGTGATGTTTTTCTTAGTCACCTCTCTTATCTCAGTTTTGGTCTCCACCAACTCCTGAGAAAAATATCTGGCACTTTACCAGGTAAATCACCTGCTAGTTGCTAACTTTGTAAGTTTGCCATTTGTTGCTATGCAGGTAGTGTACAGTGAGTTTACCAGACCTTCCTGGCTGAAAATAGCTGCCTGCTGTAGCTGAAAACAACGCTGATGAGAGCACAGAGAGTGAATCAATGTTGCAACCATAAAGCCAAAACAATCGGCTGAAAGGAGCTGCAACGCTGGCTACAGGCTACAGGCTTTAGGCTTATCACTCCAACAGACAAGCCTAAAAATATTATTATACATAGTAATAGACAAATATATTGATTAGTGCAGCTTTAAATGAGCATCAACAACTTTTTTTGGCTACTTGGTGGTAGTGGAAACAAGCTATAAACACTACACTGAACATATTATCACCTTTTGAATTGATTTGGCAAATATGTTAGCAAACAGCTGCCTATTTATACATCCAGTAGATACAGAGCAACATTAACTATAATTGAGAGTCGTGTTTCTGGTTTCTGGAGGTTCATTCAAGTGGTGAGAGTGAACCGAACAGTAAGCCACAGGCCGTAAAACCATAACAATGAAATCAAAAAATGTTAACAAGCTGCATATTGGTGATGAGAGAGGCAGAGATGGATTATTAATAACAGCTCTGTAACGGAGTCGTAGTGATTTTATTTAAAAAGACATATTGTTTAAAGCTTGCAGAGTAATACTGTTTTGAGAGAACCAATGCTGGGAACTTTAGATGTTGCCACTGAGCGTGACTATGGCCCCTTGCCACGGTGTTTGGATAGTTTCCTCACCATGTTGTCTTCCTCCTGGACCATGAATGTGAGTGAACAGGTGGAGCTGCAGTTACACTGTGGAAATCCCCTACATCGCCATGTTGCTTTAATAAATAGATTTAATGGTACCCTAACAAATTAATGTTGTTTAACGGATAAGAAATCCTGAATTATGAAGGGTGTTGAACGACATTCAGTAGCAGACTGTTTTGTCAGAATCACAGTAACTCTAATCTGGGTTTTCGAGTGTGTGAGGGATTTCTAGTTCCCATGTTCACACAAATAACATAACATGAATGACAGTAACTTTAATCGTAAAGTCTTGGTCTTAAGTTATTAACCCTCACATAGATCAGTAGCCACCTGCACAGTGTGAATTGAAAAGTAACTGATCTCAAACCATCACCATTATGACTGATAAGGCCTTTAGTTATGTTGTAATAAGTTAAACGTGCAGCCTTATTGGTGCTGATAAAACTACACTGAAAATAATTATTCATTATTCATGACCTCATATTTAAAGGTGAACAACAGCAAAACTTTCTTGCAGGAAATTGCAGATCATGCAATTACCAACTTAGCTACACAAAATCCCTTGACTGCAACAAAATACCACTTGCTATG